AATTATTGAGGCTCGAAATATTGTGCCACTAAAATTGATTGAGATTGCTTGAAGATTTGTTCCTGAATGATAGAATAACTGAAATGGAGGACGAATTTCAAATTTAAATTCATTTGCAGTACGATTTTTCAAAGCTGGTGTCATTGCTCTAGATGGTTTTCAAGTTGGAGATGTTTTATATTTATCTTTTAAATTCATTATTTATCCAGTAAGATTATTAGTACCTTTCTGTCAGCACACTTTCTGGAATAAATAATAAGGATAATAAAAATTATTTCAAAAATAAGCCTCAGATTATCCATGGATTGCTTCAGTCATACGAGTATTACGGTTTTCTAAACACTCTTCTTTTTCTGGGTTCAACTCGCAGGATTTTTCTTGGTAGCTAAAACCTAGTATTTGAATACAAATAAGTGATTCTATATGGATGGTAATGAAGTTTCTTGGGAATAAAATAATGATATAAAATTAATCCTCAACATCGATAAGCCTTAGGTTATCAGATTACCTCAACTGTATGGATATGACAGTTTTGATTGTTTTTCTTCTATATGCATTCTTTTTTTTTCTGGATTTGTCTCTTGTAGTTTCGTTACTATTTAGTAATAGAAAAATTTGGCTAAAAAATTAACCCGGTTGAATGAGTTGTAGAGACAAAATCTTTTTGGGAGAAAGGGGGGAAAAACAGGATAATAATAATAACAATAATGGGAGTTTACAATTGAGGGTTCGAGAGCAAATTTTTTTGGATGTATATCGACAAACCGAAAGATAATGAGATTTTAAAAAGCTGAAGCCTAGATTTCAAAAATTTCTTCGAAGGACCTACCTTTTTTGTAAAGAAAAAAAAATTAAAACTAGCTGTAATTCAGAGGCGAATGATCATGGCAGAAACAGTAGAATATAATGAATTAGATTTAAAATCTAATAAAACTAGCAGAATATTCTTAGTTCTGCCGAACTAATCGCCAGCCTGCAAACTCAGCAGCAGTTGGATGTCAAAAGTTGAAACGCATGTACGACGGCGACACTTTTTACGATGCGCCCGGTTATCCACGGCGGTTCGCGTTTCTCCAAGGGCACTTTTCTAAGTTTTGCACTTTCAATAATTTGTCTTTCTTATTCTGAAGGGCCTTGAGTGGGTTTTGCTGTGTTTTTCTCAGTAAACCTATAATCTCCAGGCAGGAAGGCTTATTTTCTTTGCAGGAAAATTATCCAATCAACCCTGGAAGACTGCAAACTAATTTTTTCAAAGACTTAGCTTTGGAACCGATAAGTCGTGCTCAATATCGCTTTACAAAGATACATTTGCTTTCCATCTAGCTGTTTAATATTCTAAAATTTGTATTCTCGGACTTGTTGGTCCCACTGCGAAGGAAAAAACACCTAATTCAGCCTTGAATTCCGAATAACTACATTTCCTAGACTACTATCTCCTAAATTGTCCCACCAAAGCTTTCTGTCCCATTACTTTCAGACTAATATTTTTTTTCTAAATTCAATCCTGTCTGAGCAGTGTAGCGAGCTATGGTTTACGAACAGCTACCTACATATATTATTCCTCAGAAATTTTATTTGAAATTACTTCTGAGATTTATTGCCTATAATTAATCAGTAGTAATTACGTATATTTTTTTTCAACATGATTATATAAATGCAGCTTCTGTCATTTGTTGTTGCTTAGGGCTTTTAAAGGATACTTACCCAATTTTGTGGGAGATATAAACAGGGCTCGGCACGAGGTGGCTAGATGAAAATGGAAAAAACGAAGTCCCCCTTGACTTTTGGGAATTTTTACGAAGTCCTCTTTCACCCTCAACCAAATTTCCTCTAACCTGAAAAATTCCCCAAAATCCCCCAAAAAACGAAACGTCCACTAAAAAAACGTCGCCAAGTCGCCATTTTTGCGTCTCTCTTCGGTCACAAAAACGGAACCCTTTTTGCTTTTCGTCCAAAAAAAACGATACCAACTGGCTTACAAGCCACCTGTGCCGAGCCCTATATAAAATATAGTGTACTTAAATATTATTAGCTTTTTTAGTCTCAAAATAGAAAAATAACTTGAAACCTGGTGCAAATAATATAACTCTTTCAAAATTGCATAGATTCTACGATCTAAAGCCTTATATTTGATTTCGAGCTTTGATTATTCAGAACTAGCCAAACTTACAGCAAATGGATTCGGTTGGGCCAAAAAGTGAAAAGTCATGCAAAGTCTTTGCCGTCTTTTAGTAGAGTCTTGAATTGAAAAGAAGAAATTTATACGCATAGGTATCTCAGTTGAAAAACTAGCATTACCACTCATATCTTGCAGAACAGTGCAGAACTTGTAAACAACTGTAAATTTCAGCGAACGAATTGTGCTCGAGTGGAGGAATAAAAAGAGTTTGTCATATTCTCTGTTAATGTTCGTTGTCTTCAAGTAGAAAATATTTACATTATCCTCTAGTTCTTTTCTATGCCGCCCACGTCATAAAAAAGCGTCAATTTTACCGTGTCGAAAGTTGCGCGAAAATTAGTGCAAAGATTGACTAACCACTTTAATTCTTCTTCTTCTTTTAAAATGAGTTGAATTGAAATTTTGAGAGCAAAAGAGACCTCAGGAAATTCCCCGCAAAAATTTAATTGTGTTTTAGTAGATCGGATTCAATCAAGCTTTCCGGTGAGAAG